GAATGAAGACCCAATGTTGTCATTAACAAAAAGAAATTTTAGAAGAATATTTAGAGACATGGAAAGATATTTGTTTTATACAATCACTGCATAGAAAAAGTTACTAGATATGTAGATTATGATTCATTTTAGACAAAAGATATGTAGGCGTTTACATGGGTAGCTTTTGGACTAGGTAATTACAGATAATTTGTATCTTCTTCTGTTTGCTTCTCTGTTTTTAATTGTTCTAAAATGAAGATGCACTGTCCTTACAATAAAAGCTGCAATAAGGTTGTATTTTAACAAATCAGTGCCTTTGCAGCAATAACAATAATGAATGAAACACATGTGTGGTTACATAGACATTATAAGTATAGCAATATGCAAGCATCTTTTAATTCAATTTTACACAAACTCTTTGAAGCCCTCGTATATAATAGGGCACATTAGGCACAGAGTTAAGGAAACTTCCTAGACAGATCCAATTATTTTAGGGGACTGCACAATTGGGTGTGAAGGCTCAGGACTGTAATCTTGGGGGGACTGGTAAGCCAACTGGAAACCAGTTTATAAAGATACTGTTCTACATCCTGATTGTTGAGAAAAGCCTTAAAAGCTTGCACGCAGCCATCTGATAGACAGCTGTGGGTCTCTTCCCTTTGGGAGCAAAGGAGAATGAAGGAAGACACGAGTCTACAGGAACTGCGGCCCCTTCTACTCTGAGATGAAAAACGTACATGGTGCCTGGTTACCACTGCTGGACCTCTGACCCAAGACATAATTCAAGGTCCCTGTTAAAATACGAGAAAAATATGGAGCAAAACTTGAAGTCATCAAAAAGGCTAGTCTTACTGGACTGACAGAAACGAGGGGAACCTGTGAGACTATCATCGTCCTAAGACACCTGGGGAATTTGAAATGGAATCCACGCGTGGAGGTCACTTTTCATCAATGGAACAAACTGGCCCATAACATGCACAGTCTCACCTTAAATTCCTCAACCACAGAAGACCCCAGGGTCGACATTTACCCTGAAACAAAGATGAGAAGCCAGGAAGGGGCAGGGGAGCTAGATGACTGGATGGAAACGGAACAAACATAATGGAACTCATGAGACTGTTGGCACACGTGCAGAATGTGACCAGTGTCGTGGAACGGGCTGTATACAATCGGGTGAATGAGAACCTAGTTTGCTCTGTAAGCTTTCACCTAGGACACAATGAGACATTTTAAAATACCAGTGCCAAGACCCTATCAGTAAGACTACGGACAACATTAGTCTTGGGTCGTAGTGGCCCACACCCATATTCAACAGATTGCTGCGAGAACGGTGGGATCCTCTGGGGAGCCCTCCAAAGTGGAGCCTGCAGGGTGCCGCTGAGACCTGGGCCACCGGGAGGGCCAACGTGAATTTTCAAAGGCCACTGACCTGGCCCCTGAGGGCAGCTGACACAGGTGAGACCTCCTTTCAGAAAAGATAACTGTAAGCCAGGACAGGAACTAGTACTTGTCTTGCCTGCCACAATGGGCTCAGTTAGGTTGGGTGCACTCAAAGCATGAGCCTCCCATGGCTTAGGCAGAGTCAGAAAGTATGGAAGCAACAGGGACTCATGTCACAGTTATGGAAAATGAGGCTCACATAGGCTCCTGCATGCATTGCCTGTTCAAACGTATTTGTTATAAGTTCTAGCAATGAGTTGAAGTGAAATCAATGATCAGATCGCCAAATCAAAATCTGATCACCAACAAAGCCATTTCTTAAACAGCCACAACTTACTAGAAACATCAACACTCGAGGCTTAATGGAGAAGCATTAGCTCTGATACATGGCTTTCAAAACCCAAAACTCTTCCACTCGTGAAATTCCGCATGTCTCCATCCATGAACAATGGAAGAAAATCCATATTCCGGAATCTCATTTATTGGCTGTATCGGGATTGGCAAGGGGGTTTCATCCTGTATCTTAACTGCCGTGATTTAGTAATGATTGCTTGGAGGGAATGTGAGAGTGAATTCCCCAGTGCCATATTTGGGCTGAGTGAAAAAGGTGTCATGATCGATTAGAGATGTCTGCCTTGTCTTTAGGAGGGGTGATTAACGGTATCTTTTCCATATATGTATTTTGTTCCTGATCTAGAACATCCATTCTCTTCAATATAGGATTTCTTTATTAAGTCCTTTCTATTGATTATTTCTACTATAGAACATTGGATTAGTTCTTTGAAAACGTTACTTATCACTTGTTAAAGCCATCTAAAAACACGTCTCTATTTCCCACACAGCAAACCCACCTCTCTGTCCAGGATCGCTACCACTTAGCGGTCAGTTTCTTGTACTGAGGTGGCTTGTACATGTGTTGCTGTGATGCTGGAAGTTATGCCACCAGGTGTTTCAGCTACCAGCATGGTGGATAGAACGAACACATCTGAAGCTGGAAAGCTACATGGAAACATGACATTGCAAGACTGTCCCACACACGTTGGACATCCTATCAGGAGGGACTATGCCCCAGAGAAGGAAATCATGCTTGGTAAAATGAAGGGTCAACGGAAATAAGGAAGAGCCTCAATGGGGTGGATTGACCCAGTGGCTGTAATAACGGGCTTAAACATTAATAACTGTGAGGATGGTGCAGGACTGGACAGTGTCCCATTCTGTTGTACGTAGGGTAGCTACGTTAGTTTGCTGCTAACAGCAGCCCTAAATCTAGCATTCAAGCCTTTTCTTAACTTGACCCTTACCATTCCAATTTCCCAGCAACCGTGCCCCAAGCTTCCATTCCAGTGGTCCTGGCGTCATTCTTATAGTCCAAGCACAGACTATGATCTGAACAGGCCACACAGAGAACCGGGGCTGGGATCCACTTCAAAGGGGGACAACTGGCAGCTAAAAGGTCAGGGTGTCCCCAGCTGGGGAGGTTCAAGATGGAGGGAAGGCATTAGAAGTTTGGGGCTGAGGGTCTGAGTCACAGCTAAGTGAATAAGCTCGGGCAGAGATTCAATCTTTCTGATGGACAAGCTTCCGGCCCGGTTTAACTGTACCCTCACAGGTCTTAGACCAGGGGTCCTCAAACTTTTTAAACAGGGGGCTAGTTCACTGTCCCTCAGACCGTTGGAGGGCCTGACTATAGTTTAAAAAAAAATAACTATGAACAAATTCCTATGCACACTGCACATATCTTATTTTGAAGTAAAAAACACCCGGCGGGACAGATAAATGTCCCCGGCGGGTGGTTTGAGGACCCCTGTCTTAGAGCACCGGGGTTTTACAGGTGTTTCTGAACAGGTACTTGGTATATATCCTGCCCATGTCCTTCCCTGTACTCACAGCATCTTCATTTTGCAGGGGTGCTTCTCTTCCTGATTAACTGATGCCTCACACTCATCCTTCAGGGCTCAGCTCCCAAGCATCAGTTAGTTTCTGGTCTGTCTCAACTGACCTACTTCTCAGAGTCCCGACACATGACCTCCTTCCCGGAATTATCTCCACATCCCCACGTTGCACCCTCCTGGGTCTAAGGTGCAACAACCGTCCCCACTAGAGTCCATGGGGGTTAGGCAATTAAACTGTGGAACTTCACGGATACTGAGTCACGGCCTCATTCCGCTGCAGCAGGCATCAAGGAGTCCCCGAACTGCAGCATTTAAACACCAGGTTCAGGAGACACAGCACCATAAACCAGGAACGGAATGCAGCAGCAGCATACAGCACAACACATTCTTCTTGCCCGTGGCTAACATGAGCCATATATTGTTCCAGAATAAGGGAGGAAGAAAGAAAAGCTATCATGGGTAAAAGCAGGCAGGTGAACCTCTCCAGCATGCTGGATGGCTGGGGAGCAGCCCCAAAGAGTTACCGACGTTTGAGAAAATAAGCAATTTCTGTACACCCCGCGAGCAACCGGGCTCTGATTGTTAGGCTAATTTCTCACCATGCTGAGTTTAAACTGAAAACGTTCGCAGCATACACATATCACTGGGGACAAAGCTACCGTGTTTAAGCCAAGGAAAATATGCCATTTGAAACTTCAATGCATTCTGATCAGCACGATGTGGAAAACCTCAATGCCAAGTTTTTGTAAGTTATGGAAGACGGAATAAAGCTCCATGTTGTGTATCTCGGAGAAGAGAGAGAGGGATCAGAAGTTTTCTTCCTCAGATAGCTGTGAGGATTCACATGACAATGGAAGTAATCCCCAGTCTCTCTGTACTCTAAGGCTGCAGAGGCAGGCCCGCAGCTATTATCAAGAGCATGACTGCGGGCCCGTGGGCCTCCCCTTCCTTGATCATTTCTGGGGAGCAGAGGTCGAGAACCCTTACACTTGGAGCCAAGGGAAAACTTCAGGTGACTCGTAGTGACATTTGATGGGTCCCCTGCCTTCTGTAGGCCCTGGGAGGCAGGTGTGTCCTCCTCTGGTCTCATCGTCTCCAGGGGTCACCGTGGCCCTGTGGAGGCTCTTCTGGCCTCTCCACGATTCTGGTGCAAGGGCCCAGGAGTGGGGTCCCCAGGCATAACTCCCTGCTAGCAGAGGGGACCAGCCATGTGGGCAATCACCGGCTGACAGGCCCCAGTGACAAATGCCAGGGAGATTGTGCTGAAACATTTGCCTCCAGGAGTCTGCCTGGCTTGGCTGTCGCACAAGGCTCTGGCTGATCTGGACATTTCCTCCATCTCTAGCTTAGTTTAGGTGGGGGAGTAGAAAGGGATGGTTGGCAAGGGGAGCGACAGGAACTCTTCTTCCCTGTGAGGCTGTCTCCCTGAGAGGGCCAAGTCTGTGGCGACAGCCCAAGAGGACTCCGAAAGGGGCCACGCTGGAATCCTGGTGGAGAGCGGCACTCACCTCATATGGAAAGTCAGCCAAGTTTCCACTGGTGAGTCTGGATTCTGTAGGCAATTTAGTGATTTCCTGTTGGCCACCCCCCACTGCTGCTGCCTCCCTCCCACCTGCAAGCAGTCACCCATCCATAAATCCTGTCCGGCTCTGGATTGGTGCCCGATGTTTCGGGGCTTGGACTCACCAAGGAGAGCAGAATTCCCAGGATCCAGGACCAGCCGTGTTCCCAGAGGAGCTGTCAGCACCGAGGGAAGGTTCGGTCCGGTGGCTGAAAGCAAGGCTCTGATGTCTTCCAACTGCGTGGGGACTCGGGGAGGCTCTGGAAGAAGGCAGATGGTGAATCAGACAGGAGAATGCATAACGCTGTCTTGGGGCGAGAGGGAAAGGCGTGTGAGAGTCTAAGTGTGTGTGAGACGCTTCGTCATAGTTACTTTTTAAAGAGAATTTTTCCTATAGAGAAAGAGTATCCCCCTCCTCTATCGGGGACTTAATGAATTTCCACCTGAATGCTTGATGCCTGAAATGATAAGACCCGTACTAGGAACATGGCATGTTATTCCAGGCTTGCCGCACTTTATAGCATGACAACACTGGGCCCTAGACCTTTGTCGGTAAAGGGATCATTCAGTTTTATTGCCATTAGTTGCCTCTACTCCATTCTGAGAAGAGCGTTTTTTAAGAAGCCAAGCCTGGGCCACAGGCTTTCATTCTATATTCCCTTTCATATCTTGTAACATCCTGAAAGGGGGTGGGGGGGCTTTGTTATCTTCTCTACAGATACAGATATGCCACAAGCATTCCTTTGTTGTTGTTGTTATGTATTCTTTTTAATTATTATTTTTAAACCATTTTATTCAGGGCTCTTACCACTCTGCCACAAGCATCTCTTATTTCAACGGTTACTATGTGTGGCTTTCTCTGTGAGGACATTGTGAAGTGTTAGACTTTGTGGTCTGGGTTTTTTATGCCCAAGTGAGATCCAGATAAACAGAACAGGAAGAGGGGGTGGCAGGCGGTGGGGTGCTGTGCTACTGACAATCGTCCAGAGTCAGGGCTGACGGCATCAGGGGTCATGTCAACCAGTGCTACAGGTGACGGAACAGAGTGACTTTTCATTACCACTGGACAGAGACACAGACAGGCACCCAGGGAGCCTGGCCAGGGTGAGCCTGGTTTCTGTTGGAAGGGCCAGGGAAGCCCTTTCCCTCCCCTTGCTTCCTGCTTAGCCCCAGACAATGTTTTGCCTCTGACTGCAAAATCCCATCACACATAGGAAATAAGAGGGAGCCTGAGATTTCAGCCAGGCATATTATATGGCGAGTTCAATTCCAGACCACTGCACTAAAGCAAAGACCACAGTACAGTGATTCACACCATTTTATTTTACTCCTTTTTTGGATTATATAAAATTCCATATTAAAGTTATGTTGATTCAAATCCAAAGGAGGGGATGGTATCAGATCTTAAATTGTCAACATCCAGCTTGCAAAAGGCTATGGATGACAGTGGAAGCCCCAAATCCATTTGCAGGGTCCTGAATAGTCCCCAAAAGCTCTACACCTGTGGCAGTTACATACTCTTCAACTTGAGGAAGGGGTGGAGCCTACCCTGTCAATCAGGTCGCAACTTGAGGACCTCATTTGGAGGCTCAAGGGAAATAAATAGCTCCCTCCCTCTCTGCTACACCTTCCTGCTGACAAGTCACCTGGAGCTATGCTGATGGAGCCAGAGCCCTGGAGCTGGAGGAGTCATGTGGAGACCCACACCAGTGGTGAGATGCTTCCACTGCCACTGGACCCACTGGCCTCTGGTCTTCCTACATTTGGCATCATTCCATGTGTTGCTTGAGTCTGAAGAGGAATTTATAGACTGGTATCTGACATACGGGCTAATCTCTGACTTATGGACTTGATCTGGACTGGCTGAGATGCTTTCTTAATATACAATTACTCTTCATATAAAGCGCTTTCTTATACACCTATACGTGTCTATCAATTTGTTTCTCTAGTCAACACGGACTAACACAACACCTAAGTCTGTAGTGGCTTTCCCCTTGGTTAAATGGGGTGAGGTCCAGCTCCTCTGGCCCCATGCTCCTGATCACACCATATCAGAATTGGGCTGTTGTAAGAAGCGCCTCCCAGAACGTAGACACCCCATCGCCCAAGCGACAGTAGCAGCTACACATTCTTCTGTTCACAGAAGGCCCTGTAGGAGGAATGGTTTGTAGGGAGGGAGCCCATCAGGAGGCACCGGTAAACAGTGGGGGGCATTCGCTCCTCTTGGGCACTGGACTGGCAGGGCCCTGAGGCTTCCTGAGACATCTGGAGGGCTGTGCACCCTCTGGGCTGGCCTCAGACCAGAGAGGGTAGGGCTGGAAAACCCAGCCGGGTGGGGTGTGAAAATACAGGTATAAACTTCGTTTTTTCCAGGGGTGCTTCAAATGTGTGCAAGTGTATACATGTGTGTGGTGTCTTAATTACTTATACTTCTTTTTGTTTGTTTGTGTTTCTTCAAAGTAAGCTCTTGATGAGAGAGCCAGCATGAATGCTCTAATAACTACCTTAAAAAAGTTTTTTTTCAAGTAAGATAAACATAAGCTTTGCTACTCCACTACCTCAACGCCTACATGCAGTGGAGAAGAAAAGTTGAGTGGCTCTAGTCCAGCAGGCAGGAAGGGTACTAGCTTGCTACAATGCAAGGCTTGCCCAGTACTGGCAACATGAGGCATCACATGATGTCCCAGCATTTCTCATTATTCTGACGTATTCGTTTGACACAGTAAGGCGCCATGGTAGCACAGTGGCTAAGCACTCAGTTGCCACGTGAGAGGTCAGTGGTTTGAATCTACTGGCCACTCCATGAGGCAAAGATGTGACAGGGAAGGGCTACAAGGTCTTGTAGTACTTGACTGTGGTCTTGACTGCACGGCCACACATTTGGTTTTTGGGCTGGCATTTTAATCAGGGGCTCTTAGGTTGGGAGAATGCGTGTGGATTTGAAGTAGAGGAGATCATAAATCATTCTGAAATTCTATAAAAAATTTTAAATCTATGATTTTTTTTTTAATGAGGGAAGCATTCTAGAGCTAGTCTGTGACTCTCAAAGAAGTCCTGAACCTGGAAGGAAGGTAAGAGTCCTTGCTTTATCTAATGACCTGTATGGGCACCAACCCCGTGGGGACGGAAGAAATCTTTAAGTTCTAGGTCTGCACATCCAGGGATCCGTCTGCATCTGTCACTTGCCAAGGGCTCAAGTTCACTTCTGCCGGGCTCCTGAGTCTGTGCTCTTTCTAGTTCGAGGCTCTCACATGGGGCGAAGTCAAGGGCGATGGACACTGCCTTTCGATCCTTAACTGGATCAGTTGAAGAGGGTGGGGGGGCACGTGAGAGTCACCCCCAGTGGAGTCATGAGCAGCGGGCAGCCTTGAGGCACCTACCCAGGAGCAGCAGCTGGGTACTCTCGGTCAGCTCCCCGTGCAGATTGGCCGCCCTGCAAGAGTACAGGCCTTGGTCTGAGGAGGATACGTTCATGAGGAGCAAGGAGCCTTCGTGCAGATGGTGAGGGGAAGCCAGTTTGCTTTTGTTCTTGAACCAAGTGACTTCAGCTTCAGGTACACCTGGAAAGAACAAGGCAGCCATCAGCCAAACACAGACAGGTGAACTGGGAGGCACGCGAGGCCTCTTGGCTGGCCTTCACTGAGGCTGCTTAGCTCTGTCTACAATCTCCTTTGGCCAAAAGAAATGATGCATTGGACCTCTCAGCCTTCTCTAGATCTTCTGCCTTTAAAAAAAATCACTTTATTGGGGACTCATACAGCTCTTATCACAATCCATCCATCCATCCATCCATTGTGTCAAGCACATTTGTACATGTGTTGCCATCATCATTTTCTAAACATTTTCTTTCTACTTGAGCCCTTGGTATCAACTCATTTTTCCCCCTTCCTCATGAACCCTTGATAATTTATACATGATTATTTTTTCATGTCTTACACTGACTTCTGTCTCCCTTCACCCACTTTCCTGTTGTCCGTCCCCCAGGGAGTGGGTTATATGTAAATCATTGTGATTGATTCCCTCTTTCTCCCCCCCACGTTCCCTTTACCCTCCTGGTATCCCTACTCTCATTATTGGTCCTGAGGGGTTTATCTGTCCCGGATTCCCTGTGTTTCCAGCTCTTATCTGTACATGCTCTGGTCTAGCCAATTTGTAAGGTAGGGATCATGATAGTCAGGGGAGGAATCATTAAAGAACTAGAGGAAAGTTGTATGTTTCATTGGTGCTATACTGTACCCTGTCTCATCTCTTCCTTGTGATCCTTCTGTAAGGGGATGTCCAATTGTCTACAGATAGGCTTTGGGTCTCTACTCTGCACTCCCCCTCATTCACATTTATGTGATTTTTTGTTTTGGGTCCTTGATGCCTGATACCTGCAGATCTTCTGCTTTTAGAAAGTGACACTGGTGAGGCAGGAAGAGGAGGGGTGCTAAAAGATGACAACCCAGAGGTAGCTGGGAAAGGGGACTTGCCAAGGTCGAAAGAGATGGCCCAAAGTTCTTGGAGGAAACACAAAAGTGTAAGTAGCAAATTTACATCAAGGAAAGTGGATGACTGACCTACAACTTCACGAAATAAACAGTATTGTGTAAGGAGAGCTAGACACTAAAGAAAACACACTATATGATTTCATGTCTGTAGGTAACAAGCACAAACAAAAAATGGGTCATATGACTCGATGCTGTTAGGAATCAGGTGGGAAGAACAGGGAATGTGGACAAGAGGACTGGAACCACGGGCAACTCTGCTTCTTGATCAGAGTTCAGTGGCGTCTTCTGGGTCTCTGGCCCCTTTATGATATGTATACATTCAGGTGTGGATAACACATTCTGTCAACTTGGCAAGGCTCTGGTGCCCAGTTGTTTGGTCGGACACTAGGCTACCCTCCAGTATGACGTAGCTCCACACGAGGAAGTCAGTTGGCCGCAAGTCAACTGGAGGATGACTCCCCACAAGGTGGGTGGGCCTCCAAACTAGTTTTAGGCCATAAGAGCAAGAGGAAGTTCTCCCTCAAGTCAACGAGCAGACAATGAAGCCATAGTGCTGCCACTCTCTCACCTGACCTGCAGATTTGGGGCCAAAACCGGGAGGAATCTCAAGTCTGTTGCCTGGCCAATGGGTTTTGGACTCAACTGTGAGCCAACCCCTTAAAATAAATACTGCCTTACATAAATATTAGATATGTACACAAACATGGAAAAACAGATCCTCACCATCAGAAGGTAGAGCATTCCTAGGAAACATTTCATAAGCCAAAATGGTATAAAAAGCAATTACCACTAATTTATATGAGGAAAAAATGAAACATTCTCAGAACCCCCAAAATAACCTGCCAGCTGCACTCACTGCGGCTCTTTAGGCTTGTGCTGCTCCAGAGTTTGCAGCAGCAGCAGAAAGGGGGGCCCCACGGGGGTCGCATGCTCCCTCGCCTGCACTGATGGGCGCCCTGGCTGCTCTGATGGCCCAAGTGTGGTTGTCCTGGAGGAGGGCCCAAGGTGTGAGGTTCAAAGGGTTTGGCAAATCTGTCGGGCATTTCTCCCTGTGATGGGGAACTGTGGGCTGATTCTGTGCCTCTTTATTCAGAGCACTCAGTGTGAACCTCTAGGGCTGGCAGTGCCGTGGTGCTGGTGGTGAAGGACAATGCAAAGTGGGTGGAGACGTGGGTCCTGCATCTTTTCACACCAGGGAGAGGCATGTGCTGCTTTGGCTGAAATGGATGGAGAAGGATCGCTCAAGCATATGGCCACTCCTGTATGCACACCTGGGGGAAAGACAGGTGAGAGGCAGGCAGCCAACCTGGCTTTGCCTCCCAGCGCCACTAGGGAGAGCAAGCGCATCATGCTCCCCAGTGATACCAGCTGGGACCTCGGGCCCAAGTGCGGTGCTCTAAATCAAAATCAAAACACGGTCCTCAAGAGAAGACCCCTGGAGAGCATATTGAAGACAAAGACCCCTACCCCCCTTGTTTCTTTTTTGAAAGCACAAGGGAAAATGAGCTCGTCAACCACCGTCTATGAGTGTTCCCCGTTTCTGCTGTGAGTTGCTTGTGGGTGGCACTCATTGTTGGCACCTTCCTTTCAGGAGGCCTGGGGAAGTGAGCACCCAACCCTTAAGAGGCACCAAAGGCTTTTCTAGATTCAGAGGCCGAGTAAGAGAGACCTAGTAAATGGTCCTTTAGTGCCATGCGCACCTGTGTGCTGGCTGAGAGAACGGGGCGTGCATCATCTTGCCACAATGTGCCACAGCACATGGGGTGTCTCCCTGTGTGACCCAGACAGCACAAGACCCCTGCTGCTCAGCGGGGTGTCCTCAGAGCCCAGGGAGAGAGAACCTGAGAGGGTGGAAGGGGTATGAGAATGTGAGAGGGAGGGAGAGGGAGAGAGGGGGAGAGAGAGAGAGAGAGAGAGAACACACAAGGATGAAAACATGAGAAAATAGAAGGGGGGAATGAATGAGAAGGAGAGAGAAGAGAGGGGTGACAGGAAAGGGGGCAGGGCGGGGAAGAGAGGGACGGGGAGCGAATGCCAACGTGGGAGAAACCAGGAGAGCCCATGACAAGGCGAGAGAGGAGGAGGAGAGTGGGGAGCACCGGGGCGGGGAAGGACTTGGGTGAGTCCGACTCACATGCCCTTCCCACCTGTGAACCCAGCTCCCGAAGAGCAGGGGCTGCCCAGTAGAAGCAGACCTGCTTGAAGGGCAAAGGGAGGGACAGCTTTCATCTCCGCAGCACAGGAGCCAGGGGAGGGAGTGGAGACAGAGTGGCGAGGGAGGGGCAGTTTTTATCCGGCCCGGGCTGCCCCAGGAGCTGGCGGGTGGACGCACCTGGGCCTGTGACCCCGGGCAGAAAGTGACACCAGCAAGTGGAGCCCGTCCACTCTGACACATGGCGGACGGAAACGGCGCAAGGAGAAAATAAACGAGCACCGCAGGATTCGCACTTCCCTCCATGTAGGGAACCTCATCTGCCCTCACCTGCGCCAGGAGTCTCGGGAAGGGACCAGACGTAGGTGCCCAGCACTGAGGGGCAGAATGGGCGAGTCGCCACTGTATCTAAACATCAGCAGTGTCCCCGGTCACAAGCTATGCACGACTATTCGGAAGGCATTAGAAGAAGGAAGAACATTGACTGATTGGTTGCGATGAACACGTCATAAACATTTCAAAACAAAAGGTCTTTTGACTTATTTTACACAATAATTGTGTGAGACAAGCTGGTCCCGAAATTACTTCTCTTTTACAGGTGAGAAACTTGGGGCTCAAAGAGGTGAAGAACCTGCCTAAAGTCTCATCAGTTTGGATTTGGGATGATTCCCGGGGGGCAGAGGTCATGATCTACCTCACAACCAACCGTCTGTAAGCCACGAGTGGAAGGGAGAGGATTCAAACCTGATACATGAGACACCAAGGAGCCTCCTCTGACTCCAGACCGGAAATATGAACTGCTGCATTATTACTTCGGAACTGCTGACCCCTTAAGACAGGGGTCCTCAAACTTTTTAAACAGGGGCCAGTTCACTGTCCCTCAGACCCGTTGGAGGGCCAGACTATAGTTAAAAAAAAAAAACTATGAACAAATTCCTATGCACACTGCACATATCTTATTTTGAAGTAAAAACAAAACAGGGCAAAAACACCCGGCGGCCTGGATAAATATCCTCGGTGGGCCTTAAGACATTGTCTACTTTCAGAATTAATTTGCCCACTCTACATGTGACACCAAGGTTGTTGTCAGGAGAGAAGTTCCTAGAATCCAGAGGTGCTCCACTTACTCTCTCTTGTTAGGGAGACAGGGGTCAAGTTTTGGGAGCTTATTTTTTTTCCCCAGTCTGTGCCGACATGACAGCGCATTCTATTGAAAGACGCGTCTGAGAAAGGGCAGCCAATATAATCCACCACGATCGAAGCCCAAAGCCTCGCTGCCAACAGGTGCCCGGACAGGCTCCTGCTCCGGCCACCCTGGTATTGCTTGGATGTGAAAAAGGCCAGGAGAAGAGCCTGCCTCTGCCTCTTTGCCTTTGTGCTTTCTCTCACCCCCAGCACAGTGCTCGTCCTGTGGCTTGAAGGATGCATACAGGAGTCTAGTCATACTGGGTTGTAATGTGCTATGAATACAAAGATGCGTGCCTTTAATCCTCTCCATGGAGATGCCAGCTACAGCGAAGCTATAATACTTTTTAAAATATCCCAGACAGGAGATGCTTGTTAATTGGACCACTTACTATATTTGGAAGCTGCTCATTCCAGGGCAGCTTGTCAACATCCGGTGCTGGGAGTGCACAGAAAGGTGCACCTTGCCACAAGAAGTTCTAGGAGCTCCGTAGGTTGGGTGATGGTGGTGGGGGTGATAGTGGTGGTGGTGGGGGCGGGCTTGGTGCACAGAAGGAGAGACGACACAGTAACTCAAATGTCAGCTTTAGCGACTATTCTAAGGAGCCATGGAAGTATGGGAAGAAGGGGTTCAGCCTTTTGTATTTCTCTCTGCAGGTTCTGGCAGATGCTGAGAGCTGCCCACAAACCTCCTTTCCCCTCGCTGCCCTGTGAGGCTACACTTCCCAGCACC